GGGGTGGGGAGGGGAGGTGTGCTCTGTGATGAGGAGTCCCAACCGGTCATTTTTGCTGCCCTGCCTAGCTGCCTCTAGCCTGGCCCTTGCCTTCCTATTCAGTTCCGCTCAATTCTAGTTTCCCTTCACTGCTATGAGATTTCCCCCATAGACAAGGATTTCTTCAGGAGAATTTTCGTCCAGGCCAGTCAGCAGAAGGTGGAGTTTTGAATGACGACGTCGATTTTCTGCGCAGTGTCTGCTAGTTAGTTTAACAATGGCAGTGGAGGAAGTGAATGAAGTCAGTCCGTGTTGATAAGGCTTCCAAATTAAATTAAATTTGTCTGACAAAGCAGCAGCTCTCATTTATATTCAGCTCGGTACTTCTCTCCTCTTCGTAGGGTTGTTTACAGTGCAAACAATTTCCAGTTAGCTTAGCCTCCTTCACAGTGTAGCTGACATATGTCGCAGCCAACTGATCCAATCGTTTTAAACTTCAACAGAGGCCACACCTCCAGCAAGAATCGCTTCTCTATCCACAGTATTCCTGATTTCGCGCCACTACCCATAAGTCATAGTGGAAGTAGGTTCTATATTTCCGCTTGGCTGTTGTTTACAATTACGAGGATACACCATCGCTGTTTATCAAAGCATTTTTAATCGAAATTTGGCATAGATGGCCACACATCAGAGGTATAATGTAAGGATGTTTTAAAAAGCAGCTAGGACAATTCTTTAACAGTGGCTCACTTATCACTACGGAGATGGTAGATGATGTGAAGCTATGTCCCAATGTTAGCTGCTACTATAACCCCTGGCAAAAAGTATGGAATCACCAGTCTTGGATGAGCACTCATTCAGACATTTCATTCTGTAAAACAAACTCAGATCAAAAACAAATAAGGTCATTCCAAAGTGCAATTTGCTGGCTTTCAGGAACACTCAAAGAAATGAAGAGAAAATATTGTGGAAGTCAGTGAATGTTACTTTTATTGACTTTTAAGCCCGTTTCACCTCTTTTCTGAGGTGTGTCTCACATCAACTCGTCGAGACTCCAAGTGCACAACAAAATTTATTCAACTGTTAAAGTGGATTTGGCATATGTCCCCTTTATGCAAGTTAAGCATAAATGTACCCAATCTTGTAAAACAATAATCAACAAAGCAATAAAAAACTAAAAGCTTAAAGTTAATATACGGTATATCTAATAAATCCTAAAATTAGGAACAATTTGTTTTAGACAAAAAGGTCAGTAATGTTGACAATATCATGTTTCTGTCTTTTAATAAATGATAAGTTGAGAACTGCTTAACAAACTGTTGCATATGATCCAAGTAGTAATGATGAAGGGAAACAAATCAATATGTTTTTTATAGATTATGAAGAGAATTTTGAAGGACAAGTTGCACTAAAAACCTTTAAAATTGACCTAAATTATGACGTTGTGTGTTCACATAAATAATAATAGATTGTTACAATAACCTAACCTGCTTGAAAATAATGTAAGTGTCTGAGTTGATTTAAAGTAAGTACTAAATAAATAAATAAATAAATAAATAAATAAATAAATAAATAAATAAATAAATAAAATCAGCTCAATCAAGTGCTGTTAAAATACATTTAAAAGTTTAGATCCAAAATCTTCAAACCTTGGAAATTCCAATATCAGTAGTGTGAGTTACAGTAGGAATTAATCATGACATTTTTTACATGACACAGTTAACTGTAAATGCTAAAACAAGGACTCTAAAAGTGAATATCTTCTTGTTTCCCATCAGCTCCTTTCAGACCTGTCGACACAGAGAGCATGGTACGTTTCGACTCTGTAGGAGACAGCATCAGCCGTTACAACATCTTTCATTACCACAAGGAAGAGGGCAAGTTTACCTACAAGAAGGTCGGCTACTGGGACCAGATACTGACCCTGAACACATCCATGGTACCCTGGCGTGGCACCGTCCCTCCTACCTCTCAGTGTAGTGACCCCTGTAGGAAGAATGAGATAAAGAGCATGCAGCCTGGAGATGTGTGCTGTTGGATCTGTATTCCATGTCAACCTTACCAGTACCTGCAGGATGAGTTCACCTGTGCTGACTGCAGCTTTGGTCAGTGGCCTCTGGCTAACTTGACTGGCTGTTACGATCTGCCTGAGGAATATATCCGCTGGGAGGATGCCTGGGCTATTGGGCCTGTTACCATCTCTATTCTTGGCATATTGTGCACCCTGACCATCGTGGGTGTGTTCTTGAAGCACAATGAAACACCTGTGGTCAAAGCGAGTGGACGTGAGCTCTCCTACATCCTGCTGATGGGAGTGCTGATGTGCTACAGCATCACCTTCATCTACATCGCCAAGCCTTCCACGGCTGTCTGCACGCTTCGCAGACTGGGCCTGGGCACCTCGTTCGCAGTGTGTTACTCCGCGCTACTAACCAAGACCAACCGCATTGCTCGGATCTTCAGCGGAGTGAAGGATGGAGCCCAGCGGCCACGCTTCATCAGCCCGGCCTCCCAGTTAGCAATATGCGGTGCTCTGATCTCCTGCCAGCTGCTGGTGGCCATTATCTGGCTGTTGGTGGAGGTGCCCGGGGTTCGGAAGGAGGTGACCCCAGAAAGGAGGAATGTGGTCACCCTCAAGTGCAACAGCAGGGACACCAGTATGCTCGTGTCTCTCACCTACAACTGCATCCTCATAATCCTCTGCACGGTCTACGCKTTCAAGACCAGAAAGTGTCCCGAAAACTTCAATGAGGCCAAGTTCATTGGTTTTACGATGTACACCACCTGCATCATCTGGCTCGCCTTCCAGCCCATTTTCTACGTCACGGCCAGTGACTACAGGGTAAATACTGTATGTATGGCACTGTATTCTCACAAACTCACTTGAGCTTTGTTATTCATTTGTTTTATTTTGGAACTTCTGCAGTTCATATCTCAAACAATCTCAAAGAAAAGTCCCTTCGTGTTGTTTTCTTTTCTTAACAAGACAGTTTTACTTGCATATTCCAYTTGATCTTCATCATCCAAGACTCATGAAAGGATTTCTCCTTATGTGGGTTGAAGGATCTTTCACGACGAGAGCAAAGACTCTGGAGAAACAGCCACCGTATAATGACAGAAAACGAWCATGATTGCTAAACTAATTAGTTTCCGAAATGCTTAGCTGCACATCTCAGGTGCAAAGAGACGAACACATTTTTGAACACAACTGGCCCTATTTGTTAAAYTCCAAGTTAACTGTAAGCAAGATGGTGATGGCTCTGTGATTTCTGGCGCCGCCTTTTAAATAAACTACAGAAATGTGAAAAGGTTAAATTTAGCTTGCATCATACAAATGGCAAACAGTATATGAGCTTAATCTGCACTCTGGAACTGTATGCATTGTCATATTACAACAGAACACTAATTGGAGTAAATTTCAAGTTTGGGTYCTGATTAATCTGACTTCTCTGTGCTGTTTGTGTGAAGTAATGAAAGAAAACTTTAAGCAGAATAAGACAGACCATGTAAACTGAGTGCTGGTGCCAGAGGCAGACCCAAGGCTGCTGCTGCAGTGGCGTTTTGGTCAAGGTGTGCATAAAGGCCTTTGTTGTGCAAACAGGAAGGAGGAGGGGGCTTCTAGATCACACGGCTTTCTATCATCATAAGGTATCTCAGCCTTTTCATCTGTGCTGTAATCGAATCATGAACCGCCATGAACTTAAAACCGCCCCCGCTGAGTCGGTGGGATTTAAAAGACCACCGGAACATTGTAAAATATGAGTTTTCATGCCACGCGCCGCACAGATTAATTAGAGAACGAGAGCTGCGGCATTGCAGCAGAGACCTTAGAGCCTTGGTTCTGTGTGACAATAATAATGATTGTGAGTTCACCTACTGGGTTTCAAATAAAAATTGGACAGGACTCAAATACAATCAGGGTTTAGCTTTGYTGCTCAATGAATTTTAAGTTTAATGAATAGATATTCAAAATATGAATAGAAGCTTTTAGTAAAATCTGCAAATCTTTTCTTTGCCACGGAAAAAAAACACAGAACTGACTATCCCATTATTACCTGTGAAATGTCATCTAGGAATATATCTTCACGGCTGAAAGAGGACAAATCTCTTTTGGTGGCGCTCACATCTGTTACGTTTGAAGTTAAAATGTGAGACAACTTCACACACCTCTGCTGTGTTTTTGTTGTGCAGTTTGTGTGGGAAAGATTTTCACTTCAAACTGTGGTTCTGTAAATAGAAGTTCCTGGACTGCAGGGGGACTTGCGACCTGTCCAGGGTGTACCCTGCCCCTCGCACTGTGACTGCTGGATATGGGCACCAGTGACCCACGCAACCCTGAAAAGGAGGAAGCGTGTACAGAAAATGGATGGATGGATGGATGGACTGCAGGGGTACCCGGTGGGGTGGAAGGAGATTGAGCTCAGGAAGATGACCCCAACAGTCAGCTCACATTAGCAGCTGAAATATGACTAACAAGGCCGTGACTCTCTGGGACAACCAGCTGTGCTTATCCCATATTATTTCTACTCGCTCTCATATTCATGCACATACAAATTCACAATTATAATTTGTTAGCATGCATAATTGAAAACCTTGGACACATTCGTAATTGGAAATGAAAATGTGGCTAATAATGCTAGAATAATAAGCATTTCAGGCCCAAAAGGGCATACAGGTCATTTGTTTTGATTGTGGTTGTAGAATATATACAGTGGTTTGCAAAAGTATTCATACCCCTTGAACTTTTCCATATTTTGTCACATTACAACCACAAACATAAATATATTTCACTGGAATTTAATG